ACACGGCTAGTCAATCAGCCCGGACGCTGCCTCTTATTTTCAAAAGGAAGTGACTTTCACAAACGAGCAGCTGTATTTCCCATTGTTACATTCTGTTGTGGTTAGGGATCCCAACACTATTAAAGTGGAATCACCTTAACCCAGTTGGACCTGCTCTTGTCACAGCTCAGGGCTTTTTCTACAAGAACGATTGGTGGGGTTTTGTATACACTCACGCTCGACTGCTCGCATTATCTTTGCTTCACGTGTTCCCCCCTCGAGTTTGTTCAGGGTCTGTAACAAAGAAAGTAGCTTATTATCACCCACCGGAGGAGTTGTCTGCACATGTACGTTCTGGTAATTGCCGCCGCTTAACAAGCAGACTGAATTGGACATGACATTGAGCCATTATTAGGAAATGAAATGCTGTTTTTGCAATTATGGGAGTTTGGCAGGGCCTTGTGAATTTCTCCCGGAAGAGACTTAAAAAGGGAAATATCCATCGAGATGTGATGTTTGAAAGTACACCGAAAGATCTTCTCTTGATGTGCGATACAGCTGGTTGAAAATAGATAAATGGAAGGTAGATTTTTTTCCTCTTTGTGTTGTCTTTTCCAGACTCATCCTCACAACTTAGTTCTTTGCTCTTCTTAGCTACAGGTTTAAGAAGAATGTACTGGACCACTCCCTGCTTTTTTAAAGGTCACTCTAGGATATGAGCCGGTCTGTCTTCAAGGCAGTGTCTAAGAATGTTCTGCAGATGCACCTGTCGCAGGGAATCAGTACTTTTGGTTCTGTAAAAATAAAAAATAAAAAATTTTCCAAACCAATTCAGAAAAGGTTTAGCCAGTCACATCTACTGCAAAATTGTTGAGAAAGACTTCAGAAAGGGAAAAATATCATCAAGACACCAATGTATCCCCTCACTATAGTCAGCATGAAGGTCCTTTTTTGAGCTAATCTTTACACATAATGTATCAAACACATGAACATAAATCTCTGTATGAGAAGTGTGCGCGTATGTAACTGAATTCTTCATTCTTGGATTTAAAAATACAAGTTTGATGTTACATTTCTGACTGAAAGTCAAAGTCTGGAGCTTTTAGTCAAATAATCTGTAGAGGAAGGAAAGCCCACAACACTTCAACACGGGGATTTGTAAGCATAGCGACCTCGAACAGCAGAAAACAACTGCATGCTTAGCTTGTTAGCATGTAGAAGTATAAGTTAACATGTCTTTACTTTTACAGTAATCATGTTTGAACTGACATTCTTCAATTGGAAACTATTTTCAATGGCAGTATCATTTTACGGCAGGTACCCTGTTAAAAAAATGGCTATCTCAGACCACTTGTGTCAGTTTGAATGAGTCTGAAAGTTGTGACTGAAAGCAAATTCTTCATCAATAACCAGTCTAGATGTATTTTATAGCCACATTATTCTTTTATGTCTCTTTTCTTCTTCACCTTAACTCTGTTCAATGCATTCCTGATCTGTGGGTTAGTATCCACTTTTCTATCATATTCAGAGTGTCGTGAAAATCAAAATTCAAATCTTTAAAAAAGAAATAGTAGATAAAGAGGGGCGTAAATGTGGAAGGTTGATGGCATGTGTCACCTGAATGCCTCCATTTTTAAGCCTTATAAAGACCAGATTAGATGTCCATTGTGAATTTGTGTTGCATAAGATTTGCTGAATGATCGAATAAAGTAGCATTTGTTTTCTCATGTTCTGTGTTTATAACTTTAACTGATCATTTTTTTAAGTATAGTGCCTCCTCTTTCTCTTTTTTTTGACTTCATCTTCTTTCTTCAGAGAAAATGTTGATCACTTGTTTGTGTCAAATGATGGCACATATTTGTGTTTTGATTGTGAATCTCTATAAATTACATTTACGGTAAATAATGAAACATGTAAACACGTGACATCTGCATGAATTTAGGTCCAAACCATAAGTATAAAGCTAATTAATGAAAAAAATATATATTAAAAAAGACAGAAATCTGTTGGCTTAAATAGTCATGGTTACAAAGTGATCCTGAGGAGGGACATTAAAGCTCCTCTGAGAACACAGAGCAGCTTCACTGAGCTGAAATGAGCCGTTTCTTAACCCCTCTGCAGCGGCGTGATGCTAACACAACATGGCAGCTCGGGGCAGCTCTATGAGACTTTCTCAGCCTCACCGAGTAATTGGTGACCCGGCACCCCACCTGACATGGGCGACTCGAGGAACCGGTCCCAGAAAAGCAAACAGGGTCAATCTAACGTGGGAGTGTCGTATGTTCACATTTAAAAAAAAAGCATGTGACAAGGAAAAGCAGTCATTCCCTCAGACAAACAGAGAGACAGTGTTTGCTTTAGACTTCAGTCCCCTCTGTCAGAGTAGGATTAGCGTCTACTTTGAATATAGATCAACTTGTTGAGCAATACAATAACTTTTAACTGATTGATATTATAAATTATATTTAAAGCTCCTGTAAACTCTACAAATGTCACAAAATACCCCGTTACCCTCTTCGTATTCTATTTTTTTTGCTACCCAGGATCAGCTGATCTAATTTACTTTTTTATGGTTTTGTATCGTAAATAAAAATCTGGATTGAATTTATCCTGATGCAGACTTTTCAAAGATGATCAAATCTGGAATAACACTAAATAAGACTGACTATTACATACTTTGTCCACAGGGGGCACCAAAACCCACACAAACTAAACTAAATATACAGTTCCTTTGAATCACATCTCATTGGGTGAAATATTTTATCGAGAGAATTTCCTTAAAATTGTTGATAACCCTGATGTCTACTTCATCTGTGATTGTAGCAATGCAAGAGCAAACATTTAAAAAATGTCGACAGTCTCAACATCATTGATAAATGTTGTTGTGTTCGACCAAATCCAAACATTTGATGACATTTTGTCCCTGTAATCCGTCTTGAATCCAGCCCTGTGCTCTTATCACGCTCATCCTGATTCTTTTAGGTAACAAAGTTCCTACTCCGACATATGAACTACACAAACTAAACAAACCAAGATTGGATTACCTGATCTTATCCGATTAGGAGATCCTTTCCTTTTTATTTGAACAACCAGATCTCAAGCTTCGATCCATCTATCAACGATGAACCAAAGTTTGATCCAATTAGAACAGAGAAATGTCATTAGTGGAATCTCTTGGTTATTGAAGGTTGTTAAAGCAAATGAAACGTTAATGTCGGATATGGCAAAGGATCTTTAACTATTTTGTGACACTTGATTGGCTTCAGATGAATCAGTTAATTATGAAATAATAGGCAGATTATTGGTTAGGCGAAAACACCAGCTGCGGCGCCTTGTATACAGTGAAACAAATATGAGACACAGTATTTTGAAGATCTTTTGTGCTGACAGAGGTCTCTCTCCTCGGCTGTTTGCTTCATTGACTCCAATGCCACATCATGTGTTTGCGTTTCAGAAATCCCCTGAGAAGCCCCGCTCGGGTATTTTCTTCACCCTCCTGTCATGGGTCAACTCGTTCACTGAGCAGACTCTCTCTACACCTCTGTTCAGAGTATTCCTCGACCTTTATTCTGGTGTAATTTGAGTTTCCCAAGCTTCTTTTATAACCTTACATTTAAAAAAAAAAAGTCTGTTTATGAGATTTGGTCTTACAGTGGACCCTGAGGCTCGTGGTGCTCTTCCACTCTCTACTGCTTTTATTGTGGCGGTCTTTTGTCCAACTGCTTCTTTATTCAGATGGGTTTTGGAGGTTGTTGTGATTATTTTGAGGATAAATGGGTGAAAATATTATTTTTTATTCTATGTATTCCATCACGTTTCTCTACTTTTGATGCATCTTTTTCCACTACACCGCTCCATCGCATGTTAAAGTCTGACTTGCTTCTTTCTACCGCCTTTCAAAAACGAACAAAACAGACTTAATCTCTTTTAGAATGATAGCCCATGTTTCTGTTCTTCCCTCCCGCTCTGTCATTATTGTGTAGATTTCATGGTTTCCAAAGCTTCACGAGGTAATTAAACAAGTCCCAACAGGCTGCATGTTGTGTCTTAAATAGGAAGTCTTGAAGGAACAGATGAGTGCCCCTGTTAATGGGACTATTGGAAATATACACAATCAGACATTAAGATCCAGTTGACAAAACAACAAAGCTTCCTGTTCACTTCAGGTGTGTGGGCAGACAAAAGATTAATCAGGTCACAAAAGAAATCATGCTTAGTGCGGGTTGGACAGAGAAGAAAGGAACGAGGCTCCAGATTATACCGACTTTTTTCTGACTTTCCGTTATCTTTTCATGGAGGGGGACGCTTTAAACGTCTAACTGAAGAATAAAGAGGCTTAACTCTCTTTTTGGAGAGGTCAGATTTTGAAGAGCTAGATTCTAAAGCTTTACAATATTAATTTATTTGTCTTTTATCGTTTTTATTTTTAGGTTTTCAATATTAATTAACTGAAAGAGATGAGGGTTTGCTTTTATTTTGTGCTGTGTTTGTTTTTGTAAACCGTCAGAATTAACACGTGTAACCTTATTAATAATACTTTCACCAGTCATTAAACTTCACTAGATTTCTTAAAAGTCATTTGTTTGTTTATTTATCTGCATTTGTTTTTTTAATGAAGCTTCATGCCAACAACTTAAAGCTAAAAAAAATGAACTAGTGTGACTCAGCATAATCTAAAAAACCTCTACAGAACTTTTTTTTTTTAGCTACTTCATTCATTTGTCCACTGTGGGAGAGAAAGTGGACTTTATGGTTTGCAGGAGCTTGCAGCAGAACTTGATTCAGGCTGCCCTCTAGTGGCTGCATGGTGTCATTTCCTACTTTGAATGTAAAACACAGGTTTCTACAACATCATGATTTCATGTTTTTTTGTACTTGTGTGTTTGAGAGACAGTATGTATAGAAAGGTGAAGTCAGGTGCATCGTTAAGGACTCACAGTGAGATCATCTTATTGATATAAAAGCTTTTTATTTCTGCTTTAAAATAAACTCTTTTCCTCCTTTTTTATTGTGTTTATGTGTTGTTGTTGTTGTTGTTGTTGTTAAGGTGCTTTTATTATGTTTTAAAGAACAGACTGGATTTAAACAGTTCTGAAGGTAAAAGCTAACATGAAGGCCAGCCAGCTAGCATAGAATCTGTCCTGCACTTCAACCTCATTAGAAGCAGCATATTTATTAGATTTAAGCTCAATGTGTATGTTTTGTGTTGTAACAGATTCTATCTTTACATTTCTGCAATCTCAGCTCTAAATGCGTTTGAGCAGCCATGTTGGTGCAGGACCTCCGGGCAGCACGAAATAGCTCCACCACCAGGGCTTCTCGGCTCGCTCCTCGCGGTTCAGGCTCAGATCAGCCATCAGGGTGTAGCGCTCGTACTGATTGAAGGGGTCAAAGCGGTCGTAGGAGCCCATGGAGGGGAGGGTGTCGTCCTCCTCCTGCGTGGTGGGCTCTGCAGCAGCCCTCTGCAGCACAAAGTCCACACGGCCCGCCGCACTCATGCCATCAGGGGAGCCTGACTCTCTTCATGGCTCGGGTGTAGCCGGGCGCCGAGGCAGAGACGATGTAGGTGCCGGGGGCGAGGAGACGCCAGTAGTCTCCGTTTTCAGCTGGACAGAAAGAAGGAGGCTGAGAACGGCGATTTTGGGATCTTTTTTTTTTTCTTTTTTTTTTTTTAAAGGGCCACTCCACCAACTTTAGTTTCACATGCTTGAAACCGTAATACTGCATTTATATCACTCAGCGTGGAAGGTAGAGATGTTAAAGAAGCCTCTTTTTTCTGCTACAATGTTTAAAAGTTTTTTAAGCCTGTATTTACAAAGTAACACTGTATTCACTGTGAGCTTAAAAATAGAATTTGGTTGAAGTAAGGCTCCCATCTGTATTTCGTTTTTATGGAAATTTAGTAAAATTGAGTGTTTCAGAACAATTTTAGCTTCCTGTTTGCAAGTTTAGGGCACTATTAATTCTGTGATGTGGAAAATAAAGATGGAAATTTCAAATTGAGAAGTTGCTCAGTGTAATCTGTTGAGCTGGTGCTTTCTCAGAAACTCCTGTAGCCAAGTTAGCGGGTCAAAAATGAAGGGGAAAAAAAACAACGAAGGAATTCAACACAAACAAATCTCTTTTTTAGCAGAACAAAATCCAACTTACTGCTTTGACAACAGAGAAGCGGAAACATTGGCATTAATATATATTGTCTGAGGATTTTTCACATTCATTCTCAATTTTAATCCGTAAAGTTTGAATGTTGTCTCGTCGTTGACATTTTCTCGACATCGTGATCAGACACTCTGAGGTCATTAAGTGTCTAAATAAAAGACACATTTTTCAGAAAATGAAAACAACAACACAACACTAACCCTAACCCATTTTTTTTTTTTACAGTAAAATAAATAAATAATCTTGTTCAAATGTAATGAGATTAATAGAAATGTTCATGTAGAGGGGGCGGGATTAAAGAAGTACAAACTTCTTCCCATTCCTTTTCCAACACGTAATTAGAACTATTGTCTTGTGCAGGATTCTTCTGTTAGTTTGTTAGTTTTGGTTTTGGAAAAAAAGAAGAAGCACATGTTTGAAATAAAACCTCAATCACTCAATTAGATTTAACAGAATCCTTTCAGTTATTTAAATTACCAATTGCATTAACTACTATAGTCAAGGGTTTGACAAATTAAAACTGTGTTGTGTTATTGGATAAGCAGGATGCAGTGTTAGTGGCTGACCTGTAATGGACTGAGATATTTAAGGCATGAATGTTGACTATCATTTTGTCCTCCATCCCTTTAAAGAGTACACGCTTTAAAGAGGGTGATTTTTAAATGGTTGGAGCAGCGCTTCAATCAACAAAATGTGAGATGTTGGCCGCACAAAAATTGGAAAATAACCAGGAAACAAATGGAATAGCATCGCGTTAATTACCACACTGTAAAACAAGAATGCCTCTCTTTAGAGATATTGCATCATGTAAGCAGCGGATCTTTGTTACCTGAGGTGACGTCATGTCGGATCTCTCTCACTGATATCCGAGCACCTTTGATTGGGTTCCCCTCCTCGTCTTTTACGATACCTTTGATACCTTGATGGGCCTAAAGGAGCGACACACAACAAGTTCATATATAACAACTAAGAATTCATAAACACAACAAGAACACTCAGGTTAAATAATGAGATCTTTTTAATAATACTACAAATATTTACGTCTCTACATTTACAGACTCACAGCTTCCAAATGAAATGTTATAACAGGAAAAAAAATGATCATCATGTTCTTACTGCCTCCATAAAAGTGAGCAAAGCCTCGTAGTTTTCATGCCAGCCGATAAATAATTCTTCTTCAGGGGGAAATTTATCGCAGCCCAGCTCGACCGTCACCTCGAAACAGTTAGTGTGTAGATAGTTGAAGTCCTGCATGCCTGATAGGAAACAAAAGAAAACTGCTTTACCCAGAATGCCACAAGAATCTGAGCTGACCTTTCCCCTACACCTCCCTGGGCTTCCTTCCTAAATGCCCAGTCCCTGATTTGTTACCTTAAGTGGTTGAACAGCGATCTCTAGTGGCTGTTTCCAACATTACATTTTATTTTTTTCACAAGTCAGAACTTTGACTGTCTTGACTCACCGCCTGCAAAGCTGGACCATTGAGCTCCATTAATGATTCCTCTCTGACTGTTACTATGAGACGATCCACAGCGGGCGTTTTCATTTGCCATTCTTTCATGGGCGTTTGCATATGTTCTTGCTAGAAGCTTGAAAACCTACAAAATAAAAGCCTGAGGGTTAATTTAATGTGCTTTACATTTTTTTTACAGATGACAAAAGAACATGAAAATCATTTAGTTTGGAAATGCGTTCAAAAAAATAAGCACACAATGAAAAAAATTATGAATGTAAATGCCTTATGTTGTTAAATCAACAGAAGAAGTTTCAGTCTTTTCAATAACCAGAGTTATATACTGATAGCTTGTAAATGACTAAATACTCATGTGTTTGATAGATTTTATTTTTTCATTTTCACCTTTTCATCTGGTGTGAGGGAGACCATGTTGGGCTCCAGAGGGTGTTTGGACAGATCGTACGGGTATGCCACTACCAGGTCTCCACCATGAAAGTTAGCCGAGAGCACAAACGGGATGGAGCGGATCCACTTCATGACAGCATAAGTCTCCGGTGCCACCTGCGTTGAAGCATTAAGACTTATTTGGGCCCAAAGAAGAAGAGAAGTTGATCTGCTTTAAAATCCACTAGTCTTTGATATATAATTTTCTGTCATGACACATATGGACATGGATTCATCCTGTACCTTACCAAACCAGTAATAGTCTGGGATTGGGATGTGGTCAGTGCGGTAGCCTTTCTGTCTGCGTCGGTTGTAAGCAATAGACGTCAGATCAGGGAAGTTCCTGTTCAGGTCGACGTTCTGAGCGTTGTTTCTGCCGATGTTCCATGAATCATATCTGGGACTCTTTGGGAGACACAAAAATTAGTTATTTTAGATATTAATGGTTTTCTGGAAAGTATTCCTGTTTACTCCCGACTTTGATGATGACATCTGTCCCTCTAGAATCTAAATGTTTAATGAATATTGGCATATTTGGCTAGTTTCAAATATGGTGGGTGGTTTGACCCTCCACACTGAACGGAAATGTCTGGGCTTCATCTCAAATTATCTATGAACCAGTTGACCAATTAAACAAAAAAAATAACACTGTTGAAAGTGTTCATCTCAAAAGGTGACTCCTAAAACTGAGTTCTTTGTCCACACAATGAATGAAAACCAACAGAAAGAAATTACCTCAAATTTGACAACCTGTTAAAGGCAAATAATTAACAAAAGTGCAGATGAATTTTATGTTTTAGACTTATCATTTAAGTCTCTGGGATAACTCTTACCTAAAGCAAACAGGTGGTTTTCTGCTATCGGATATTGGTTTGATGACAATAGCGCTAAACTACCCGAATCAAAATGTATCTTTGTTTGCATAATTCATCATGCATCAACCGCTGGGTGGCCATTTCACTTGAAGGAAAAGTGGCAAACTACCCAGCATGCATTGAGCAAGCATGTGCAGAAACTCCACAAATTCTACATGTAAAATGAGGAAAGCTAAAGGGTGGCTGCAGAACTTCAACACAATTTTATTTAAACCATAACATGAACAACACTAGTATCATATTGGACTCGTTTTTAACTTTTACACTTAACATGAATGTGTGGGTAATTAATATGCTGTTTTTTACATGTATTACAGAATATGTTTAAGTGTTGGCAAAGCAGTAAATATGTAAGACTAATGAAAACTCACCCCCTCCTCATCAGCATCGTTATTGTCCTGAATTCCTGAAACCGCCACCTCGTATCCGTCAGGGTTCATGGAGGGCAGGATGTGGATGCGTGTGGTATTGATGAGGGTCTGGACACGTTCGTTCCCCAGCAGATACTCTGAGCACAGGTACTGAGCCAAGTAGATCAGCAGCTGACGGCCCAGGACTTCGTTTCCGTGCATGTTGCCAACATACTTTATCTCTGGCTCAACTGCAAATGGTCAAATTAACAGAAACTGTTCTCAGGTCTTTTATAATAAAAGAGGATTCAGACTATACATGGCTGTACTTAAACTTCTCAAGTCACCTGTGGTGTACCACAAGGTTCAATTCTAGGTCCTATTTATTTTATACATACACATTGTCACACGTTTGTCTCCTCTCTTCTGTGTTTTTACATCTCTGTCCTCTTGATTATAAAATGTTAATAAATAGTGTTACTATAACTGTTAGTTTTACTATCTGTGTAGACTTGGGCATGATTTACTCACGCAGTTCATGTTCTCCGGGGTTGTTGGAGAACTCAATCACAAGCAGCTCCCGGCCCTCAATACTGCGTCCGATGCTGTAGGTTCTTGCTATGTTGGAGCATTGATCTTCAGTTTTCTTCAGGATGTTGATCATCTGAGCATTGGAGTGATAGGTGAACTTTATTGTGGTGGCTGGTTCCTCAGGAGGAAGCATCTCCATGCCATCCATGTCATCTACATCCTGTTGTGCTGTGAAGAAAAACACTGTTATCACAGATCAACGTTTGAAACCGTGACTGGCCAGCTTTAGATCAAACAAAAGTTCTCTATTCATTCTTGTTGGGCTTCCAGGCTATAAATAGGATGTTTGAAGAATCTGGTGTGTGGGGCGCTGGTGGATGTATGGAGGCTATAGTCTTCCAAGCCGAGGTTCGAATCCAGCTGTGGCTCATTTCGCGCATGTCATTCCCCTCTCTCTCTCCCGATTTCAGACTCTATCCACTGTCCTATCTCTCCATTAAAGGCACAAAAAGCCCAAAAATAAATCTTTAAGAAAAAATAAAAATAAAGAATCTTGTGTGTGTAGTAGAAGCCAAAAAGAGAGTGGGGAAAGTCAAAGCATTAGCAAACGCTGTATGAGCGGAATGTGGTCCTTTCAGCTGATGCTTGCCCTAATTTTTGTATTCATTTTTTGCAAACACCAATAATAGCTTCAAAACCACATGGAGCAAGTTACACCCTTGTCCTGCCAGATTGAAATTCTGAGAAGAAATTGTATCTGTGAAAGCTGGCACCAGTGTAAAACAAATTTTATATTTAGGTCCAAACTTTGCCATCTCTAACAAGCTTACTCAGTCTACCCAATTCAACATGATTTTCTCCAATATATGGCAACAGTAACCCCTCAGTGCCTGTGTTTGTTTGAATGTGTTTTGGAGCTTTTTAAATACAAAAATAAAGAAGACAAGGTGCTAACACACTTAAGCATTTCTAAAGATTTTCTTGGTCACTAGGGGGGAGTGTGATATGCCATAAACACAACAGCAACCTGGTTGATATGTGACTGTGTTAACAGTTTCCTATGAGTACATAAAGGCCAAAGGAGATATTTGAAGTTGTATTGCTAGGATGGTAAATTTAGTTCCAATATTTTTAGCTCTGTTTAGCAGCTGTGTGTGGAAAGTAACATATCTCCTGCTTAACACATATGGCTAGTAACTAACTTGTCATTTGTTGCCGGAAACATAGCATCAAAATGTGAAAATCAGAGCTATATCTTTTTTTAATAAAGCTGCTGCTAAATGCTGAGTGCAAAAAACTAAAAAAAAATAGCTTAAAGTCGCTACTAGTAGGAAAACTTGAATGACACATTGTAATTTAAAGTATTGCAAATACATCAAGTATTGCTGCAATGTATAGTGACTATCACTAGTAACTAATCCATTCATACACATTTATACCCTGTGGAAGAAGCAGCAGGAGCAATTTGGGGTTCAGTGTCTTGCCCAAGGACACATTGAACATGTGGCTGCAGGAGATGGGGGTTGAACCCTTGACCTTATGATTGAGAGACAACCAACTCTACCAACTGAGCCACAGCCACAATGGCCTCCATATGATTTCTTAAACCAAATATTATGTTGTCAGTTCACTTAAAAGGAAGACAGGAATGAAGACATTTACATACCATATGTTGTGTCTATTTGTTGTTTTTTCCACCTAGATTACACACACACTGTGAAGTATTACTGTGTCAAAAGCTTTAGCCCTCATAATATCAAAACTAGAACATCAGTTTTAATTTAATATGAAGATGGGAATAATTACACAGGGTCAACCTGCTGCCAAACATCTGAAACAAATTCCACATCGCAGAAAGGTTTTTCTCTGCAATAAAAAGTGAATGACTTTGCTACAGTAGTTCAGTTTAGTTGTTTTCATGGGCTGACTTTTGGACTTTAAGGGCTATAAACATATTTTACAGTAAACACCTTTGTGTCTTAACGCTCATATTGGTTCCTTCTGTTTGGCAGATTTCATGTTCTCATATGGCTCACACATGATTTCTGAGTGTTGTTTTTTTGCCAGTATTTCAAAAACTTACTTTGATAAGAATGCACACTTTTTTAGAAAATGCTATCAGAAAGTGTTTGCTTTTCTGCGGTTCATCAGAAGGACAAGCTTTTAACGAAAGCACATGGAAAATAGCCACAGGTCCTGGTTAAGTCAAAGTTTATATGAGAAGAAAAGGCATTCCACTTTATTTTGAGGTGGGCCACGTGTGTGAACCAGATGTCTGCTGAAAAATGGTCAAAAGGTTTTGTGTGTCTCTCGCACATGATTTCAATATAGTTAGTCGAAAGCAAGACTATGCCACAGTGCAAATGATAGTGACTCTAGCGCTCACCTGTGAGGCCCTCCAGTGGGTCATAACACTCCTCTTGCTCACTGACGAAGAAGCGGTCACAGTCCAGGAAGTAGGGCCAGGCCATCTCTATCGCCTCAAACGCGTGGCTGCATTTTTTACGGATGGCCTCGCAGGTGGCTCGACAGGGCTTCGTCACCTTTGCCTTCTCACAGCGGGGGGCCAACACGGAGCAGCCCAGCATGCGTATCTCAGGGTTGCACTCTCCGCCAAGAAGAGACTCCACCACACTCATGAGGAGGTACTCCGCTCCGGCCTCGGCTTCCTCTCGAGTCTTGTGTCCGAGGATGTTTGGGAACATTGTCTGTGTGTAGGGCATGTCGTCGCAGTAGGAGAGTAACACATCTGTGCATTTTGCTGAGGCGGAAGAAAGAAACTCGAATGAAAGTATCACTCATGGGGGATCTAACTTTAACCATCTTATTTTGAAAATTCAAAGCATGAATCTCCATTTGTCACACATTTAATCATGAGCCATGCAGCACCAAATATTTCTATTATCTCTGGAAATTAGAATTTGAATATTTCATAGTGTCATTGATCATCTAAAAATACACATGCTGGTCTCATTGCTTTTGGCTCTGATTCCAGTCAGGTTACACCCAGTGTGACTTCAATGATGTCATTCTTTTAGATGTGAAAAACAACTGACTCAGTTCAAATCCACAGGGACATTACTCGACGAACACAAGATTTAGAGCTTGATCTTTCTCTAGGGTGAAAATTGAGTGGTTTCAGGGCTTGAACGTCGCAATTAAAGCAGCTATTTGAGAATTAAACAGTAATATAGGTGATAAGCTGCTATAACAAGCTCATACAGGACACAGCTCTCCCTAAATCCAAGCCCAAAGGGTACTTACGTTTTTCTTGCACTGTTGGCTTGCACAGTCCTGTAAAACACATCAGCAGCATGTCATTAGCCGACACTTTGGCAGACACTAGATGGCAGGAGTGGTTTCTGTAAAAGCCTCAATGTGGCCTACAAAAAAACTCAGCTTGGTAAACCTCTGGTCTTGCTTCAGCAGCTTTTTTTTTTTTAAATGAACTGTCTGTCTGCAACGTATCAAAGCTTCCACCTTCAGGCCTATTATTAATAGTCTACAAATAATAAATGTTAAAAAGCAACAAGTAAAGTAAAATATTAATTCGATTAAAAAAGCCACAGGCAAGCGTCTGATCTAAAGTAGTTGCTCATCGCTTTAAAAGTTGCATTTTAGCAATTTCCACACATTTTACGACATTAAGATAGGTTTTAAGGTCGAGAGATTTACGCAGAGTTGAAATGAGCATATGCCAGAACTTCTTCAATGCAGCAGGTCATGATGCACGTAACACAGCCTAATAAAGTTTCTATTAAAAAAAGCAGCTGCTAAACTTTACCTCTGACTTCTGGGTCACACCGTCGAGGAGCAGAAGACACAAGGGCCACAGACTGCAGCAGGATCAGCAGCATGATGCTCATTTTCCACTGTTTATACTCCGTTTCGATGTGGCACCTCACACACACAGACAGAGGCTGTGTGCGTCAGTCTCCGAAGTCTGCAGAGCTTCTCTCTGAACTTCTCTCAAAGCGACTTTATTAGGCGTATTACGGTCAAATATCATGTTACGGAGGAAGAAGGAGGTGAAGTGGGGACATTTAGCAAACTAGCATGCAGGCAAATAGGCTTAAAGCTTTCCCCACCACTTTATTACTTTATGATTTAGAAAGTTTTGGACTCTTCATAGAATTTTGTAATTGTGGTCTGTGTCATTACTTGTCCTTGTATTACTACATAGGGGTGTCCAAAGTGCGGCCCGAGGGCCATTTGCGGCCCTTAAGGGGATTTTTTTGCGGCCCGTGACTTCAAATGAAGAATCAGAAGATTCTGAGGCCTTGGTTAAGATTGGCACATTATCTTAATTTTCTTTTTCATGTTAACAAGGGCTCAACAATATTCCTAAAATAGAAAATGTTCAGTAACATGTATGTTGTTGGTTTTTTTAAATCTACAGCTTTTACTATTTTCCACATTTTTTTGTAAACTATGAAAAAAAAAGTATGCAAAGTTTTTTGCAAACAAGCAGACTGTTGTTTAACCATTTAATGACCTGAGCTAAATGCAGAAAGCTTTTCCAAAAAACATGAACCACGTTACAAATAAAAACAAATAAAGTAGAACGAAGAAATCAAAATATTTGATTTCCTTTTATTAAAGGGTTTCTTTAGCGAGCCTTTTGATTCTGATCTACAAAGCCTTACTATTTTTTAAACTATATTTTAAAAAACAAAAGCTGTGGCCCGTGAGCGATTCTAACATGACAATTTTGGCCCGCAAGAAAAAAAGTTTGGACACCACTGGGTTACAGGATAGGCTAAAAGTTAAGGGGAAAAGCTCCTTAAACTAGCAGAAGCAATTGGGGTCTTTTAAGAACTGGCTGTCTGTGTAAACAGACAAACTGTTTCATGTCATGCTAACAAAGTATTTTTACTTTACCAGTAGGGTGATTCAAATATGTGTAATTTGTATTTGTTTTCAGGTCAAACTTTGTTCAGATAAAGTTTAACCGATAGCTCTAAACATCCTTTTAGTTTTCACTTATCCAACACCTTAATATCAGGGTCTGTCTGATATATAAATCGGCAAATAGGCTACTGAAGTGCTAATAGTTGCCAATATAACAATAACAGCAAGTAGCCTATTTGGATTTCTTAAAATCTGCTATGGGCAAATTTATCAATCTCTTCTCATAAAACATTCAACAACAAAAAAATCTTGTGATTGCGAAATTGTGTCATGACCTGGTTTGTCCAACAGGGGGCCCTGAGAATACAGAGTTTACTACACCCAGCATTGTCTGCAGCACATGTAGCAGAGCATCACAGCTGAAGACACAGAAAGGATAACGTTTGTATCAGAAATATATTGTATGTACGAATGTGCCTGAGCTAACTGATGGTTCTATTGGTTTGTTAGTCTCAATAATATATCCAATAGTAGAGATTAAGGTTAAAACTCATCAAAGTTCACAACACAAAGCAGCATCCACCAGTGACGTGCAGTGAGGTTACTGACTTTTTCAGAGTCAGATTTACAAATATATGAACCCATTTATAGCTCACTGACCTCTGAAAGGACAATTTGATGATTACGTGTGTTCTTGCATGGGTTATAGTCCAATTTGAGGCTCCAAATCAAAATGGTAAAGGCTAGATTCAAGTCATTCCCACTAGCTGTTTTGACCTTAGATACACAGACATCAACCCAACATGACATTTAATTAATGCTCTCTTATAGAACAATGATTCTCAAAATGACCGCCTACACAACATGAGACGGAGCAAACCCTTTGATTGTCAAGAGGAATCCTAATTAGTCCCGTGTCTTAGCTGTGGTGATTGCCACCTGACCTGATTTCTCTTTTTCTAACACACATAAGATCCTGAAGAATATCACACACAGATAAATTGTCTTGGGTACCTTTACACCAACAGAGGAGAGCTTGTTTTACTCATTCGATGAATTATATGGTCTGCTCTCCTTCAAGCTTAGCTGATCTGAATTAACATAATGAAAAGCATGATTATTCATCATGCTGCCAGGCGGGCGCTGAACCCCTGGGTTCTGAATAGACGGAGAATCTGGAGCGTGAGCTCGGCCCTCTAGCATGGATGTAATGAGTGGAGTGAGTATAGGAGGTGTGAGCGAGTGTAAAAAAAAAAAATACAATGCATCAGCTAAATCAGGAATATGCTTATTATTCCTGAATATGGTTATTTGAGCAAATTATATCAAGGGAGATTTATGGGAAGTGCGCTTAGAGAAATGAATACATCTTGCAATAATGCACAATTTCAAAATGAATATTTAAGAAACAGAAATAATAAGTTAACTTTTAAACAGAAACATAACAGGATCATAAGACTGATAGAAAAGAAAAAGATTCTCGTCTGTGAGCAAGACTGAGTGACTCACTGAGTTTGTTTATACCACCTACTGATCATTGTGATGGACAAACACCCGTGCAGAGAACAGGAGCTGTATTATATCATGTTGTTTTGAAACTGGTTGAGTGTATTGTATTAATAGACAAAAACGGGCTGTATTAAGAGCAGAAATTGCTGAATAGTGTCAAAAACAATTAAGTCTGTATGGGCTGGGTAAGTAAATGCTAAGAGTAACACATTTGGATGTTAATAATTAGAGCTTTTACAGAAAGCTATCAATATTTGTATATTAACAATGTGTAAATTACTCATTTCCGCGCATTAGCTAGTTATTCAGAGCTCTTCTGGATCCGTCTTGACTGAAGCGTGCAGCTATTTTTGAGAGGGAAAGGTCATAAAAACCGTTGGCATACGGCACAATGCAGCAGCATTGTTCCTTGATAGGTAGTGACCAAAATGAAGTAGTTATCTTGCTGTAGTAAGCTTTGACCAGCTTGTAACATGTATTTCTTGAATTCTGATGTACCAGTTTTTTTTTGTTTTTTTACAGGGGGGCAAAAAATAGAGATCTCTGCACTTGATGCTAATGAATCATTGTTGCTGGTTTGTTCCCAATGCAGCACATTAAGCCTTAGACGGACTGAATCAGAATAAATCAGCATCATTCCACAGAGTGACCTTTCACCTCTATGTTTAATTACACTCTGCAGTAATGCTCCCGCGAAAAGATTGCTCATATGACACCAGAGTCCTTTTTATGCAGTGTATAATCTATGATTATAATTAGGGCCAAAAGTCAGATGGAAGCAAAACAATGTGATGCAGACAGAGGTGTGTAGCTGACGGAGGATAAGCAACCAAAAGAGTATTATTCCCTTTCAATTATACCTATTCCATCATCTTAATATTGAATATTGACTTTTATTTTCCATAATCTGCATCAATCATTTGATTTAAAGTCATACCAGTAACTATAAAATATCCAAGACTTTTAAACTGTGCTTCTTAAATTCAATTTATAAATTAAAGCAAAGGGCATTATCTAACTTCATTGACATTGCTTTGAAACATTATTATTTCTATTAGCTTCATAATTGATGGTTTTATTGCACAGATTCCACTTAAAGCTATCACACTGCCTAACAGCAAGTGGCTCACAGGAGGAATGATACATGTGCGTTAATTACATCCAAAAAAACAGATTTTTAATAAATAAGCAGCTAATCTGGTACAGATGGAAAAATCACATATTCAAATCTGGCACAAAGACAAAACGGTGTGTTTAAAGCACTTTGAAAGCTCTCCTATGCTACATCACATAGCTCCCCATTTATCTAGACAAAAGTTGTTCCTGTACAGTGCAAAATATATATATATATATATATATTGTATATTATACCATCATTTAAATAGAAACATAGAAACGTTTTTTCAGTCAACTGGCAGAACAAAGCAAAGTTGTACAAAAGTGGGCTATCCCTAGTACAATTACAAAGTCACAATTCTAAGCTGAAGTCAGGAAACATTCTGCACTCACAACAAATCCCACGAAAAGCCCAAAACCAATAATGTATTGACCTTCCTATTGACAAGACTGTGAAGCCACTAAAACCAATCTTTTCTGTAATTGTGAGAATATTGTGTTAATTCTCAAGTGAGTTGGATTTCATTAAATGAAAGGTGAGCTCTCAATGTTTTGCAAAGTAAGTGGCGTATTAACATTTAAACTTCTCTCTACTGTGCCACTGAATAATGCCACTCACAGCAGTCACATTAACAAATATGCTTGCTTTAAAGGGGCTTTGCTTTTAGGGGGTTGGCCTTTGCTTTTAGTTTGTCAAAAACATTTTTTTAAACACATCAGTGAACCCACCAACAGGTTCAACATATTCTCACTTCCAACTCACCAAGTATGACAGATGGTCAGTGCCAGTGACCAGGCTTCATGCTGGCCCAGTGGCAAGTTAGCAACTGTAACATTTCCCTCAGTCCTTCAGTTTAACACAAAAATATATTTAGAAACATCCAGCAAGCTTGCTGAGAAGACTTTAGTCATTTCAAATTTTGGATGGGAAAGATATATACCAAATAGCATTGTGAAAAGTGTACAGTTTGGTTAGATTGAGTCAACACAACTTGGTAAGGTAAAGGAAAAAGATCATAGTTGGGTCTGAATCAGAAGTTCAGTATGTAAGCGGTTGTGAAGCTAACATATGTAGGTTGCTTAACATTTGTACCTTAATAATGACACAAATGTACGTTAGCTTAAGTCTGTTTACGTATATAATGTTACTAAGGACGTTACGTTAAATTAAAAATGTAGGTTACCCAACGTATGCTATGGGGTGGCTGTGGCTCAGTGGTGGAGTCAGTCATCTTTCAATCAGAAAGTTGCAGCTCCAGTAGCTGTAGCAATGAAATCTAAGATGCTCTCGGTGGCTTCAACATTGGTATTTGAACGCACTGATGGCTACTTGATCATTTATCCTTTGCCTCTAGTGTGTGAATGTGTGTGTGAATGACTTATTGTGACATGTAGTGTAAAAGCGCTTTAAGTGGTAAAATACGAGTCGAGTCCCAAAGAAGTCAACATTAACCATTGGGATCACGGGAAAAGAATACAGATCCTCCTGATGAAAATATCATGTTTGTTTGCTCTCTCCAAAAACGCCACCACTGGTGCTTTACATGACTTCAAAAAATCACAACAAAACAATTTGTTTCTTAATTAAAGAGATGCCTATAGTTTTGAATATTGATGCATTGGGCCACTGACCAAGATTCCACGTTTTAAGAGTGAGAAGTGAAAATAAGCTGAGTGGTGACATTTGTCTTCATAATGGAAAACCAGGGCACTGACGTTTATTTTCAGTTCTAATATTGCCATACATTTATTGAGTTCACAAATTGTGTATTAATCCGGGTCTTAAAGAAGCTATGTTTTCACCTGATTGAGAAATGTTTACATTGAGAAATGTTTACATAAATCAACAGTACCCAGCTGTCAAAGGAAATTATAAAATCTTGAATAAAAAAATCCAACACCTTTTTCATGGATTTACATCTTTGGAGCATCTAGTACTCACGATACATAATACCATACAGTGTATAATATTGTAGATATTGGACTTTTCATGGAATTTGTTAACAACAAAACAACATAGAATATCCCTCGCCTTATCCTTTAATATCAAGCTATAAATGGTCCCCTCCTTTGGCTCCTGTAACTACAGTTGCTCTGAGAGATTTAGACAAAGTGCATCAATATTCAGTGACTGACATGACACTGCAAAGTATTCTAACATTGTCAATACAGAACATGGCATTAAGGTAAAGCCTCACCTAACAGTACATTCATTAAAATAAAGTAAGACATTTTCAAATCTTTGCTCCAGCGCCTTTATCGGCCTCAGGCTGCGTTTTGTGGCAGTGCAAAGGTCACAACACCGGGATTTGCTGAAGTCATTATAAAGTGGTCGGAACAACAAAAAAAGGCCACTTTTTTTTTTCCAAGTCTGCCTCCAGCAGTGTGGTCCTTCAGTTTAAGATGAATCTCCCCCCTGGGATTTATTTGATGAAATTGATTCTTGTGATCCGTGTTGTTTTGTGTGTTGATGAAACATAGATCACCTTGTTTGCCCTTGCTGTCCGAGGCAAACGTCTTCCACATCACCCCCTTTGCACTCTCTATGTCTTCACCTTCTCAGCTCCTCCTCCCCCTCATTACTGTCTCTTCACTCTTCTCCACCCACCATTTTCCTTATTTTAGCTCTTTCTTCAACCCCCACCCACAATCTGTCCCCTCTGTCTGCTCTCTTTCTCCTTCCTTAACAATTTACTCTCCTCCCAGTCTCTCTGCTCATTCTTCTCCTCCGCCCACCTTCTTCCACGAGGCAACCTTTATCTTTGGCTCAAAGTGTGTACCTGTCGTGCCCGCTCATTCACTATTAGCTGATCCTCTGAAGACAGTAGTCGTTCTCCGTGTCTAAAGAGCTGTTATGGCCAGACGAGGGGTACAAGTCACGGCGTAGCAGCCTGTTGACGACAGTAACCAGGACTTTCTTGTACTGCTGACGTAGGAGGGAGTAGGCGAAGGGGTCGGATGCAGCCTTGCTGTATGTCAGGCACTTACTGATGATTCCCCAGCGGCGGTTGATATCCACAAAGGGTAAAAGCTCAGCCAACCTGAAGGGGCGGAGGAAGAAACATGACTTGATAAAGTCCATCTTAATCAAAGAGTTCTACTGTTTTCATATAGTTTTGGCTGATGGCTGTTCAACACCAGTCTGAAGTTTTACCTAGCCACTGTAACTTTGTTAAATGTTGCTCTGTGCTCATGATGGATTAGTGTTCAGTCTTTGAAGATAATATAACAAAGAGTAAGGTCTCTGACTTGAGTTAACACTTGTTATGAATTGGGCAATACAAATAAAGATTGATTGATCGATTGAAACGAGTGAACTGTTAGAAGATTATGTCAAACTAAATGTAGATTTAACAAACTAGGAACAGTACTAAAATACTGCTGGGACAAAATGTGGCTTACTACGTGTCTTGTTTTCTCCTCTTATGGGAAACTAGTCTAAAGTCAATTAAACTTTTATCCATTTTCTCATGTAAGATTCTGTATTTTATTGCAATATGCCTTAAGCTGTACAGAGTTGTCACTAGTGCTTTTAATAAGTCACTTATGGTTGATATAATCAGTGGTGAACTCTGAAAATGTGTTTAAGAAGAAGGTGTAACTACTTTGACTTCACACATTGATTTGTGAACCCCATTCTGAAGCCTTTCTTAAGTTTTGCATTTTTACCAACCCCATTGTTTTCCAGCAAGAAGTGACCATAATTTGACGATAATCAGAATCTATTATCTCTATCCTGGTGTGCAGATTAGCGCCATGGTGGCCACACCCATAATCATATTTTGTTAATCAGAAGTTTCACTCTTAATCACTGAAGTAATGATAGAAAAGAAAGTACTTAGAAGTTCAACCATTTTCTTATCTTCTTTCTACAACCATACATCTTCTTTCGACCATTTCAGTCGCCTCCTGCTGGCTATTAGAAATAATGCAGGTGTATTTCACTGCATTATTGGCTTTTATTTTGAAATCATAAGTCTGTCCACTTCTTATACACTGTTTATGGTGGAATCGGATATTCTAAAAGCAAGGTTTGAATAAATGTGTTCAGATGCCTATTTGATCTTATTATTTTTTACCTTAGAGGGCACTGCATTACGCTCTTTAGCACATTGGGTCTCTGTATAACAAACTTTACTATATTTGATCTACAATACAGGCATTCGAGAAGCCTTCACACATTTCTGTCGCTCTTTTTTGATGTAAAAATTGTAAAATTATTCTTGTGAAATTCTTAATGCATCTTTAATTTTATGATTTTAAAAAACTGTAGGGAAGATTAAAACATGCCTTCATATAAAGAAATCCAACAAAGACTCATTCATTCTTAATTGCATGTCCTTTAAATGTAGACATGCACTCAATAATGTCATATATTAAACATTTAAAAAGACAGTTTCTTAGCTCTTTGCGTTGAATGAATGAACTCATTTTTTAAATTAAGAACGGTGTTTTTGGTGTCACATTAAAATCAAATCACAGCACAGAAATCATTACATTAGGCATTTTAAATCTTCCACATAGAGCACACATTAAAAGGAAGTATACATTTGTCTGCATGTCGTGTGACCTTGGTTGAGTGATTTAAAGGGACTTACTGTTTTATACAAGATATTTATACCTATGGGAGAGTGAACAATACAACATTGTCACTGTCCATAATTGATGTGTAGAGAAGCTAATTTTAGACGAGACCAGATACACGAGGAGAAACTATTTAATTAGATTTTTGGTTCCAACACTCACTCAGGTTACTTCCTGTGTGTGAGCCAGGCCAGGAGGCTACTCCACTTCGTTCTGACACTTTCCTTGTTAAAGTGTCCGCCTTCCTTCCTCTCATATCTGCAGCTACACACATGTCAAAGTGATGGATCATCAGCAGCACATCTCTTCTCAGCGGGCCATTATTTATCATGTGGACTGTATCTACTGTCCTCTACACTGTATTGTGCATGTGATTTTGTTTGTTCTTCAGTTGAAGCATCATGACAAGCCACCTGTTTACAGTTTGATTCAGGTGACTAATGGTTCATGGAAATGTTGAGAATTAAAATAACCAGGTGGAGACTGTGTTCAATTGTTCCAAATTGTAGATGACATTTATTACTCATTATATTATGAATATGCAAGACCATGCTGAATTTGCTTTATTATGAGTGCATATTTGTCATCTTGTATGTTGCTGCTCAGGGGTTTTGTATAGATGTATGGGTTACTGTTTGATTCTACTTACCTTGTAATGACATAAGGAGCAAAGCAGATAATGAAGGAGCCAATGAAGATGCTGATCTTCTTTGTGGCTCTCTGTTTTCTCCTCTTTTGCTCAGCTAAACATCTTTGTTTCACACTGTTGAATGACATTTCAAAATGAGACAAGACTGGATTTCAGATCAAAAGAGCAGTGAGAAAAGTGATGTTTATATGCGACACTGAGTTGAACTATACCTTGGGTGGATGTCGACCAGCAGGAAAAGAGTCTGCATGGTGATTATGTCAATCCTCTTGCAGTGAAACCTGGCCACTTTCAGCACCTTCAGGTAGGTGAAACAGAGGGTGAGCAGGGAGAGCATGAAGCTGGTGGCGTGAAAAACCACCGTGAACACCGTGAACTTCATCCTGTCGCTGCCCTCCTCGCTCGGCTGCAGGGTGCAGGACGCGTACGCGTGGCTGTAGTCCACCCAGGAGAAGAGCAGCGCCGTCAGGGAGAAGGTGAAGGAGTGCAGCCACGAGTAGCACACCATGATCAGTGCGTCCTTGTAGCGCATTTTGGTGGAGTAACTGAGCGGGAACACCACCGCTATCCACCGGTCTATGCTGAGCGCCGCCATGCTCAACATGGTGTTGGCTGTGAGAAAAGTCTCCAGGAAGCTCACCGTGTGGCACACGCAATCCCCAAAAGGCTGCTGGTTCCGGATAATCCCAACCAGAGTGGCCGGCATGTTTAAAACAGTGATGAGGATGTTGCAGAAGGATAAGTTCATGGTGAAAACACCGGGAACCTGCCGGCGAATCTCGGTGCTGTGGACGAAACATAACAGCACCAACAAGTTTGACAACAGCGAGACGACGGCGACCACGACGATGAACGAAGCGAAAAGGATTTCAGCAAAGTCCATGTCTCACTCCAGGAGGTTCACCATTAGGTTACCTTCGCATTTAGTTGATAATAAACACTTAGAATCAACCATTTTCATCCCCTGACACGGCGCCCAAAATCCAATTCAATTAAATCCTCTCAAACTTCCAGGAGCGCTGTCCAGAGTGCTGAAGCCGCCGCCAGCACTTCCCTCCTGAAACTGGAAGATATTTCCCATTGAAATCCGTCCACTGAAGAAGTAAAGCTTTGCAAAGTGAAGCAGAGGGCGTGTGGTGTTTCCCTCAGCAGCTACCAGCTCTCAAAGAGCGCCCAGACATCCACACAGAAGCAGTTGTGAGGGGGACTGAGGAGGCATGCCCACTGATGTGAACCATCACTTTTACATGTCACGTGAAGAAGGGAACAACTTGTCCTAGTCATGAAAAAAAAAAAAAAAGTCACATCATTATTTCCTGCACATTCAAACACGCTATTCAACGTTAAAGCATTTTTTCTTTGCTCTTCTTTTTTGATTTATTTGCGCAAAACTGTAGCAAATAATCAATCCCCCCCTTCCCACTAAACTTATTCTCGCGTGTTGTCAGCATTGATCACGTCTCGCTCAGAATCAATGAGGGTCTGCAGGTAAATTCAGAGATGTGCTCCTGGATAATCGGAGACGCCTCTGCCATAACCAAGTGGAAGCAGGTGCACACGGGAGGGCAAATAGATCCCTTTTCCTGTAATGAATTATTTATAGCCGCCAGCTACTGTAGATTCACTATCATAATTTGTGTTTGGTATGCAAAAATATACAACAGGAGCATCATTCATAGGAGAATGTCGATGTTGGTAAAGTGAAGTAACAGTTTCGTTTTTTTTGTTGACATTTTCCAGTTCTGAAGACTGAAAGGATATCGTTGTATTAGATCCAGCAGAAATGTTTACGAAAGAGAAAACCTAGATTGTACTTTTGGGTTTCTATTTCACAGCCGGGAAAGATGCTGAAGACAAAGTGCTGCCTATGAAAAGCCACAGTTTAGCGTTTTATTGTTAAGTAATTGAGTTTGGCAACTCGTCCTTCAACAATCAAACAAAACAAGACCTGTATGAAAAGGGACATAAAGTGAAAAAGAAAGGTTGTCTGACCTCAGGGAGTCACTGTCTTTCACATCTCCATCCTCCCATCAATCAAACCTAAAGAAGGAAGATGTTGCATAATAATATTTGATTTAAGAAGAACAAGAAAGAAAGAAAAGTACCCAGTTGAGAAAGTATTTGAGTTTTAAATAAATACATGTAAAAAAAAAAACAGTCCTTAATTAGTTCTTATAGAAAAAAATGTAATGCCTTTTATTATTATTAATTCATTATAAACTAAATTATCTCTAATAGAACATGGACTCTTACCAACCATCTTCTGCACATTTGGCACAAGGGCCATGACGTATATGGGAAGGACACGACAGTTAATTGCAAATAATAATTATTTATTGTAAAAAAGAAAGCAAATGAAATGATGACTGCAAACATGGAGTGTGTTTGTCAGTAAAGTCAGTATAGTGTGAATGTGGATGTGTGGCATAATGAATTGAACAAAGACCAAAATGTGCAGATGATGGTTGGGATGAGTTTGTGAGAGAGAGAGAGAGAGAGAGAGAGAGAGAGAGAGAGAGAGAGAGCCACACTGGGGTTGGGCTTTTATGCCCTGAGATCAACAGGCCCAGTTGGTCTAAACTGGACTAGCCGATTCCTCTAGGAATAAGGGAGACAGAACCAATCAGTGGAAATGTAGAACTATAACACAATGTTTCGTATGTTTAACTTTGTCTGCATCCTTTTAGTGCCCCGCTACGGAATAAATATATCACTGCTTTTTTACTTCGTGGTTTAAAACTACGACCTATAAAATGGGACCTAATCCAAATAGTAGCAACACACTGTTAGCAGCAACAGGAGTGCACTTCAGAAATGGTTGTTTCTGCGTCATGTCCAATTCTGGAGGATCTGGTGTAGACGGTGACTCACTGAGGTCAGACACAGCCTGCAGTGTTTTTATTCACTTCATACTCCCACTCTGTGTGAGGACTTGTGCCTATATCCCCCCCCTCCCCTCCAATTAACTGTTTTATTTATTTAAGAGTTCTAAGTATCAGAGATTTCTCTTCAGTCAGACCTGCACTGCTCCGGGGGGGATCAAGTGTTTGAAGCGATTAGAGGAGCTACTATTAAACGCAGTTTAGGGAAACCCCAAGGCGAGCTAAATGTGAAGTGACCACCGTAATCACAGCTGCTGATGAAAGTCTTTCTATATTCCAGCTGTAATGAAGCTACCTCAGCTTTGAGAGTGTGTTGTGTGTGTGTGTGTGTGTGTGTGTGTGTGTGTGTGTGTTTCACTATGTGTGTCTGTAGCAGAAAGTCAGCGCGACAAAGCAGCAGCGGCTTAAGTCAGTCCCCTTTCAAACAAGTGATCGAATGCTGCGAGAAAATCTCCAGCTGGGCTCCTGGGGGAGAGAGAGCAGAGCTATTTATAGGCCTGATGGGGTGTCACCTCCAATATAAGACTCGCTGATGGTGAATTATCCAACAGGGGTACGAGGGTGAAGCATTGAACGCAGCTCTAGATCTGATAGCTCTCGTGTGTGTTGAGTTGTCAGCTACTGCAAGTTTACAAAGTGTCCAAAGTGCCTCAAGGATCCAGATGAGATTAAGAAAATGAATTAAAACACTGTGAGATATCATTGATTATCACTGCGGGCTCACTTCATTTTAGTCTCTTAATCCAATAATAATAAACTAAAACAGGTTTATATGGGCACAGGAATAAACAGTAGAAAGTCGATGGTCTCCAGCTCTGAGTTTGGACAAAATACATCTGATTGAGATTGATTGTGAGTCAGATTCAAGCACCGAGGGGAATTAAGGTAACAGACAGAGGAATCCTTCAGCTTAGGATGAGTTGTCAAGATGCAAATAGTAATACTATGCTGTACATGTGACTGTAGGGAGCCAAAAAGATTCATAATAGGGCTGCAATAAAGTGTTGTTTTGACTTATTTACCTCCTGCTAACATCAGCTTGCTAAAAAAAATAAAAAAATAAAAATAAAAATAAAAACAAGCATGCTAACATGAGTATGCTGACGTTCTTACTGTAGAAAAAGCGGGCGTAGCCTCTTGGTTCAAAAGTGAAACCAATGTGGAAAAGGCTTGAACCTGCATTCTGTCCGATTGCCAGCAGGGGGGCGAATGCACTTGTTGCAGCAGTGAAGTCTGATTGTTTATAACCGCACTGACAATGAATTCCATTCGGTGAGTTTGACTTTGAAATCAGTTTTTTTAAGGACTTTTTCAAAACATCGTGGCGTTCATTTTTTTTAAAAGAATGGTCCCATTTAGAGAACATTTTAGTCTCATGCGGGATTCAATTCAGAAGTGTTGCTTGACCTGTCAAGCAGAGCGAGATATTATAATGAGTGTGTACCCTGACGCTGAAATATGGTTGTAACAATAAAATGCAAAGCTCAAAGCCTAAACCAACAGTAACCAGTTGGTGACTTCCCAGTGATGATGTCCACTCCTTTTCATGTAATCTATGGCTAACACGTAACATGCTTTCATCCTGATGTGAGGCAGGGATCATGTTTACAGCTCATTATCAAGCTTAGGATAGTATACTCACAAAGCTACACAACACATTGCATGTCATTGGTTTTGCATTGAGTAACAACAATGACTGATGTAACATTTTAATTACTGTGTCACTCCTTGTCAGGAGCTGCTCTCTAACGGGCGGATGTAAATCTGTCTGCAGGTGAGGGAGAGCCCATTTTCTGATTCCTTCCTCAAATCCTCCTGTGATTGAAAATGACAGCTCTCTGTGTTTCCGACTGTGCGTAGGTCAAAAGAAGCCTTTTTAAAAAACGGTCTTCTTGTTCTCTTGGAAGTTGTGTTTGACATCCTTAAATATCTTTGCAGACTAAAGCAGCCAAATCAAACAGAAGAATGTCTTGTGTTGCAGTCATGTCTCTCTTCATGTTGATGATAAAAACAAGTTTATGATATGAAACACAGATTGTAAAATGAAATGGAATCATGAGGCTGTACAGACACAAATAAAGACACACAGCGAGAGTCGAGCTTTTGCAGAAAGAAAACAGAACCCCGAGCAGAAATGTATCTTTGGACCATCGCCCGACCTCAGCTTCATAACAAAGCCTCCTCTCACAACTTTCAATCGTAAAAAAAACAATGTTACCGAACAGTGCCTGACCTTCATACAGACCAACGGCCTGGTCACCTTCAGGAGGTTCAGAAAAAGCGTGATCTCAGCACAGGGAGGAATCCCCCCAGGTACCCTGCAGGTACTCAGAATGTCACTCAGAGCTTGTACCTGTGCTGTGTTTCACCTTTTTAAATTCACTGGCCCAAAGTCCCGGGAGCGCAGAGCACCGCCTAGGGCCAGGAAGGAGGGGGCGGGGGTGGATCTCAGGTCATGCATGAGGTAACTTGGCTTTGGTGTGGCTCCTCTCGGAGTCAAAACAGAAGATACAGTAGCAGGTAACATGACGCCTTTTGACAGCTTTGTAGAATAGATCCTTACCACTCTCTTATCAACCACTAAATCATTCATGGTCAGACTTTCGCTTTGTATTTTAGCTCATTTACAACACATCTATTTAAATGTTCACCTTAAAATGACTTTGATGATACATCACAGTGAGCACTGAGTTCATTTTGTTTCAGCTGAAAGGAAGAAAGACGGCATGCGGGGTGCAACAGAGCGGCTTACAAAGGGTCATTCACAGTAAGACCAACAGGTCACTGGTTTAGATGAGGAGTTTAAAGTTGATAATAAAACAGAATAAAATGGATGTTAACGCTTCTTTGTGACCCTCAGATTGACTATCTCTATGAAGTTATTTGCTGTGATTAACAGAATGCAGCCTAAACAGCCTTTTTTTTTACATTTTATAAGATTGTCCATGAGAGATACATTTAAATGGTCAAATAAACCAGAGGGAGATTTTCTTTTAAAAGGTGTAATATGTAGATTTGCTTTTTTTTAAATGGACTAAACTTATGTTAAATATATTTTTGGTTTGTTGAGTACTTTCATCACCTCTGATATTTCCGGCAGTTATCAAAGCCGGAGAAATCTTTAATGTTTTAATTGCATCGGCCCAAAGTCTTTCTTGGCGGCCGCCATGACAGAGCCACCATGATTTGGCCACCTGCATTTTGGTACATTCCCTTTCCGGCAAGATTCTGTCGTTTGTAACCTTGTTTTCTTTTTGACTGGTAAAATTGTTTTGCATCTTGTAAATGCCTTTTCCAAAATCTA